CAGCCTCATTCCTAGCTCTGCTCAGTCTTCAAGAAAGGGCTTTTAAAAACCACAAAAGTCTTGTGATTTGTGGAAGGACTTGCTTCCATGAACTCAAAGCAGGACAGAACATATGAGAAGGGACTGTAGGACTGCTGCAGCAGGATGGCTTGTTCAGCCTGGAGAAGAGAAGGCTCAGGGGAGACCTTGTAACAGTCATCCCTAGAATGACTAGGTTTTGCAGGCCTGACTCTTCTCTCATGGAGTTACTGGAGAACTCCAGCTATAACTACATTTATCACAGAATCCCATTTGCCATAGGATTCCAACCTGCTCTGGGTTCATTCAGTTCCAAGCCCCTGCCAGGCAGGAACACCTACTAGACCAGGTTGCTCCAAGCTTGCATCTCTAAACTGAAATCTTTAAACATGGCTTTAACCTGCCAGAGAGGAGACTGAGATGAGCTCTTAGCCACAAGTTCTTCCCTGTGAGGGTGCTGAGGCACTGGCACAGGGTGCCCAGAGAAGCTGTGGCTGCCCCATCCCTGGCAGTGCTCAAGGCCAGGTTGGATGGGGCTTGGAGTAAGCACCTCTAGTGGAAGGTGTCCCTGCCTGTGGCAGGGGGCTGGAACTGGATGAGCTTTATGATCCCTTGCAAGCCAAAGCAGGCTGGGATTCTATGATTTTAGGATAATGAACCAAACTAATACAGACACAGTCAGAAAGTGAACCAGTGTGAAACACCCCTGTGACTGCCACAGCACAACGCAGAGCCAGCACAGACCCTGCACCACAGAACAGCCAGGGCAGTCTCACCAGCCCATCTCAGGCCCCTCTGTGGCAGAGCAACACCTGAGCTGCCTAAGGGGACTTGGTGCACCCTTCCATAGGGGCAGCAGCCCCTCCAACCTAACAAGCAGGGGACTTGCTGCAGACAAGAACACTTCCCTCCCCACTGCCCACTTCTAGACAGCCCTGTCTCCAGCAGCCCACTCCACGCCTGCCAGAACCATCAGTCCCCTCAACGGCCTGCAGGCAGGCAGAACAATGAGACTTCTGGATCAAACACAGACACTAGTAACTAATTAAATGAATAAACAAGAAATCTAAGGTTGTAACAGTGCTGCAGCTGCTCTGCAGCACACTGCAGGCTCCCTGCCACACTGCAGCCTTCAGAGTTGAAACCGAAAAGATGTTTTGAACCAGTCCCCTATAACCTCTCCACTGGCCCCAGCAGCACCATGATGCACACAAAGAGGAGACGAAAGTCACTGCCGCTCCTTGCCAAGCCTTCACTTTGCTCCTTTGCACTATGAATGTAATGAATGGCTCTTTATTTCATAGCTGTACTAATGCCAGTGCAAAAAAAAACAATGACCGTGGGCAAACACATCACCAGTCATTGACAAAAGCTCAGACCAATCCTGGGGAGCAAAGGTGTTGGGATCCCACAGCTGCTGGACTCACACAGGACATAGTTAGAAAATCAGAGCCCAGCTCTGAAGCAAGCTGCCCCCAGTGCAATAGCAGAACTGTGGTCTCAGCAGCATCAGGAGAGATTCTATTGATTTAGCAAGCAAGAAAAATTCAACACATTCTCATCCTAAGAAATAAAAGCAATTAAACTAAACTGCCTTCAGTCTCCAACTGAACAGAAGCTCCCATCACCCTTCTCCTGGCTCGGCCACTCAGAACTGAGGCTTCTGAACTGCAGGGCCCTCAGTCCAGCTCTTCTCAAGCTTGTCCTCCTTTGGTTTGAAAAGGCCATTAAGTTCTCTACAGCTTGTTGGAAGGCCCTCATCTGATCAGCAGTGGATTGGTAAAGTTCATTTGAACTACCTAATTCTCTGCAAATAAAGTTTCAGTAAGAAAATCAGAGTCTGAAACAGTAAAAGCAGGGGCAAAGCTGATCTTCAAGTAGTCTTAGAGGAACACACACCCTAAAGGAGCTAAAGGCATGTGGGACTATCATCTTCTCTCCCAAGCTGCTTAGCAGCTACATGAAACCCTTTGAACTCTGATACACTCACCACACTCAGAGTGCATCACACTCAGGTGTATTACCCAGCTGCAGGTTCCTCCTCCTTCCTCCCAGCGCTCTCTTGAGTCAAGCTCATTCCAACACCTCCTTCCTCGAGCTCATATTCTCTCTGTTTCAAGACAAGGAATTACAACCATTTAGATCCAAGCATCACAGTTTAAACGCTGTGGCACAGTTCAGCCACAGACCTGCTGAGCTTAAAACTGACACAAGCGTCCACACGTTAATTCTTGCATTCCCGTAATTCTGCTTTTTACCCCTCTTCCCATCAGACTCTGACCTTTCAGTTTTAGATTTAAGACAGAAAATAAACCTGGTTAGAAATAGGCAAAAATGGTATAGAAACAGAAAGAAATTGGTAAGAACAGGAAAAAAATGGCTTGGAAATGGCCAAAATGACTTAAGAAGAGTTAGAATTGGGAAAAAAAGGGTTAGAAATAGCTCAAGCCAGATTAGAAATAGCTAGGAAAAGGTTAAACCAGGCTGGAAATGGCAAGAAACAGTTCAGACTTAGTCAACAATGCATAAAATTACTAAGAAATAGGAAAAATAGATAAGAATGTCCAGCAATTGTTTAGAAATAGCCAAAAAAGAATTAAAAGGAGTTAGAAAGGGCCAAAAATGGTTTAAACCAAGGGAGGAAAGGGCAAAACCAGGTTAGAAATAGAAAGACATTGGTAAGACCTGGACAGAAAGGGTTTGGGAATGGCCAAAAGGGCTTAAAAAGAGTCAGTATTGCGCAAAAAAGGCTTAGATATAGCTCAAGCCAGTCTAGAAATAGGTAAGAAAAGCTTAAACCAGGCTAGAACTTCCATAAATAGTTCAGATTTAGCCAAAAAAGGAACAAAACCTACAAAAAATGGGCAAAAATAAGGTAAGAACGACCAGCAATTGTTTAGAAATAGCCAAAAAAAGACTTAAAATGCATTAGAAAGGGCCAAAAATGGTTTAAACCAAGTCAGGAAAGGGCAAAACCAGGTTACAAATAGGAAGAAATTGGTAACAACCTGACAGAAGTGGTTTCGGAATGGCCAAAATGGCTTAAAAAGAGTCAGTATTGTGCAAAAAAGAGGGTTAGATATAGCTCAAGCCAGTTCAGAAATAGGTAAGAAAAGCTTAAACCAGGCTAGAAACTTCCATAAATAGTTCAGATTTAGCCAAAAATGGAATAAAACCTGCAAGAAATGGCCAAAAAGAAGACAAGAATGACCAGCAATTGCTTAGAAATAGCCAAAAAAGACTTAAAATGGGTTAGAAAGAACCAAAAATGGTTTAAACCAAGTCAGGAAAGGGCAAAACCAGGTTAGAAATAGAAATAAATAGGTAAGAAATGTTGAGAAATGGGTTGGGAATGGCCAAAATGACTTAAAAAGAGTCAGTATTGCGCAAAAACGGGTTAGATATAGCTCAAGCCGGTTTAAAAATAGGTAAGAAAAGCTTAAACCAGGCTAGAAACTTCCATAAATAGTTCAGAAATTGCCATAAAATGGCTTAAAACCGGCAAGAAATGGGCAAAAATAAGATAAGAATTACCAGCAATTGCTTAGAAATAGCCAAAAAAGACCTAAAATGTGTTAGAAAAAGCCAAAAATGGTTTAAACCAAGTCAGGAAAGGGCAAAAGCTGTGTTAGGAACAGAAAAAAAATTGGTAAGAACTACACAGAAATGGTTTGGGAATGGCCAAAATGACGTTAAAGAGTCAGTATTGTGCAAAAAATGGTTAGAAATAGCTCAAGCCAGTTTAGAAATAGGTGAGAAAAGCTTAAACCAGGCTAGAAATGCCCATAAAAAAGTGAAGCATTTAGCATTAAAATGGCATAAACCAGGAAGGAAATGGGCAAAAATAAGGTGAGAATGACCACCCATTGTTTAGAAATAGCCAAAAAGAAGTTAAAGTGGGTCAGAAAGGTCCAAAAATGGGTTAAACCAAGTTAGGGAAGGCCAAAAAAGGGGGTAGAAAGAAATTGGTAAGTACAGGACAAGAACAGTTTGGAAATGGCCATAATGGCTTAAAAAGAGTTAGAATTGGGCCAAGAAATAGCTCAAGCCAGTTAAGAAATAGCTAAGAAAAGCTGAAACCAGGCTAGAAATGGCCATGAATTCTTTAGGAATTGCCAAAAATGGCTTAAAACTGGTAAGACATGGGCAAAAATAAGATAGAAATGGTCATCAATTGTTTAGAAGTGGTAAAAAATGCTTCAAACAGGGGACAAGCAGGCAAGAATGGACTAGGAATAGCCAAAAAAAAAGCTTAAAACTGGTAAGAAATGACCAAAATTAGGATACAAATGGCCATAATTCTTTTAGAAATAGCCAGACTTAAAATGGGTTAGAAATTGGCAACACTGGGTTAGGAATGGCCAAAAATGGCTCAAACCGAGTCAGGAAAGAGCAAAAATGGGTTAGAAATGGCAAGAAATTAGTAAGAAATGGACAAAAAACGTTTGGAAAAGGTCAAAATGGTTCAAAAAGTGTTAGAATTGGGGAAAAAAGGGTTCGAAACAGCCTGAACCAGTTAAGAAATAGCTAGGAAAAGCTTAAAATAGCCTAGAAACTTCCATAAATAGTTCAGATTTAGCCAAAATGGAATAAAACCTGCAACTCAATCATGTACCAAGGAAAGAGTCAGGGCATTTTCAGCTCTGTTTTGAACACTGCCAGCCATGGGGCAGCCACAGCTTCTCTGGGCACCCTGTGCCACTGTCCCACCACCCTCACAGGGAACAACTTCTAAGATCTCATCTCAATCTCCCCTCTCTGTCACGTTAAAATCGTTCCCCCTTGGCCCATCCCCACAGGCCCTTGCTCTCCCCACAAGAAATGAGGGCAGATCCCAGGATCATCCCTCGGCAGCCGCAGCGCTCCGCTGCCGGCTCAGCCAGCCCAACTCACACACCGAGTCCAAAGCAGCCACTCTGGGGAAGTCTCTTGAGGTGTTCTGGCAACTCCTACAGCACCCCAAGATCGCCATCGCCACCCACCTCCTTCCACGCTCCTGCGTCCACAGGCGGCACCGGCTCCGAGACACCAAGACGGGAACCACCGGAGGAGCTGCTCTTGCCTCCTCCACCGGTAGCTTGTGTTCCGTGGGGCAGCTGTCGTCTCCCGGTGCCTCTGCTGGAGGGTTCTGTGGGGTTCTGTGACCTCACACACCTGAACACGGGGAGTTCCAGAATCAGCCACCCCTGTGGTCTCCATGTCCCCAAGGTCATTGTGATGCAGGAGCTCTGACTGGGTCCATGGGGAGCTCTGGAGGTGCTGCAGGCATTCTCTGGGGGTATCCCCAGGATGCCCTGGGAGTGCGCAGAGACACAGGGCCGTGGAGCAAGCTGCTCTAGTGGAAGGTCTCCCTGCCCGTGCCTTTGGGGGTTGGAGCTGGGTGAGCTTTAAGGTCCCTTCCAGCCCACTCTGGGATTCCATGATTCTCTGCTGTGCCAACGTCGGTCCCTCTCCACTCCTCGTAGGTGGCCGTGACGCCCTGTTCCATGGCCCACGTTGAGCTGTGACCCCTCGCATGCTCCACCTCCGGACCAAAGGCACTGAGGAAGAGCAGCCCGTGAGGGACCTCCCCGAGCCGGCTGGGCAGAGGCTGGTCCCCCCGCAGCCACTCCCGGAGCACCCCTGGGTGCCCAGTGGCCATGGGCACGATGCTGCCGCCATCCCAAAGCCGTGGCGGTCGCTCTGGATTTGCCCATTGTGACGGGGCCCCCACGGTGAGCGTGGGCTCTTTAAGGAGGGAGAGCCCTGCAGTAACCGGTGCAGAGGAGAGCCCTCCCCTCCCTCGGGGCTTCATGTAACCAAAAACGGGGCTGGGGGAGGGTACCCAATGGACACAACCTCCCATCCCCCACCCGGGGGTGTGGGGGGGTGGCACCTCCCCCCCTCTTTATACCCCGGATGGGAGAGAGGAGGGTAAAGGGGGGGATGGGGGGGGGTCTATCCGAAGCCTTATTGACACCGATGTAAATAGCGTGGGGGGTGGGGGGGGAGGGGAGAGGGGAGGGGTCACCTTAAGAATGTATAAAAAGGAAACTTAACCAATAAATAAAGATTTCACAGGAAATCGAGGCCCCCTCTCCCCCACGTGTTTCGGCCTTTCCCCATCCCCGTTCCGCGATGCTCTCCGCACTTCCGGGTTTGTTGCCTCTGTTGCCTAGCAACGGGGTCTCCGCGTACCGCTTCCTGCGCGTTGCCAGGCTACGGCCCATGGGGCTGAATATGGGGCCTTTCCTCGCCCCTCCCCCTCATTTGTCCCCTCCCCCACCGCATACCCATTTTCTCCCCTTCCCCCCTTATGCCCCCCATTCCCCATCCCCCTTTTTCCCACCCCCATTCCCCACATTCCTGCCATTTCTCCCCCTCCCCCTCCATCCCTCCCCATTTCTCATCCCACCATCATTAACCCCCCCCTTAATTACCTGCAATTAGCGTAGGACCTGCTTTATTCACACGCAGTTCATGTAGGGCTGACCTTATTTACACGTTACTTCCTTATTTACATGTTATTAATGTAGGGCCTACTTAATTTGTGTCCTTTTAGTCCAGCATGCTCAGCGCTTCCAGCAGCCCCCGCCCTTCTCCCTAGGGTCTGAAAGGGGCGTGGCCAAAGGGGTGAGGACACGCCCCCCCCGCCCCTCCCTCGATCTCCCCGTCTTTGCTCACCTGGGCCTGCAGGGGGCGCAGCTGCGCCTGGAGCTTCCCATTGGATGCGGCCAGAGCCCGGAGCTGGATCCAGCGACGGGACTGGAAGGGGTGGAGGGGGGGACACAAGGAAATGAGGGACCCCAAAGCCATGGGAGGGACCCAAATACCCCCCAAACACCTTAAATATCGCCCCATATTTCCCCACAAGCCTCTCCCTTAACCCCAAACCCATCCATAACCCCCAGATCCCCCTCCCAGCACCCCCAAAATTCCCCCTAAAGCCCCAAACTCCCCCATGTCATCCCCTATAGACCCAAAATCCCCTCCAGGACCCCCACATATCCCTCATCCCTCCCAAAAAGCGGCGCTGGGGCCCTTTAGGGACCCCAACCCCTCCCCATAACCATCAAATTCCACCCCCCAGACCCCCCCAAGCCCATCAGGACCCCCCCAAATCCCCATATTCCCCCGTTGGCACCCACCAGCCGCTGCTTCCCCTCCTGCAGCTGCCTCCTCAGTGGCCCCAGGGCAGTTTCTGGGGAGTCCATGGGGCTGCCCCGTAGCTCTGGGCCCTGCTGGATCTGGGCCCCCCGAGCCCCTGAGAGCCCCGTGGCCTCCAGCATCAACCTGGTGGCAAGGGGGGCACCAAAGCCAAACGTTGAGGGGAGTCTGGGGGGCCCAAAGGGGTCCAGATCCCATTTTGGGGACCCCAAAAGGGCTGCAGGGACCATGGAGGTTGGGGGGGGGCACCCCGAAAGGTGTCAGTACTGGGTTTAGGGAGAATAGGGGGGGCTTTAAGGACCCCTATGAGCCCAGCACCCACTTCAGAAGAAAACCCAGGGGGGTTTAAAGTACAGAGGGGGTCCCTAAAGGGTTCTGGGGTTCAGGAGTGGGGAGGAAAAGATCATGGGGGAGGGCCCAGGGCAGTTTTGGGTTGCAAGGGGGGAAACCAGGCTGCAGGATGGATTCGGGGGGGTCCTTGAGAGGGTTTTGGGTGCATGGGGGAATCCATAGGGTGGTTTTGGGGTGCAGAGGGGTTGTTTTGGGGTTTGCTTTGGGTGTTTTGGCCTTGTTTTCGCCTGTTTTTGGCCTGTTTTGGGGCTATTTTGGGTCTGTTTTGGGGCTCTGACCCTGTGTCCCTTAGGAGAAGGAGGACAAGGGGGTTTTGGGGTGGTTTGGCATGTTTTGGGGTTTGCTTTGGGTGTTTTGGTCTGGTTTTCACCTGTTTTTGGTCTGTTTTGGGGCTATTTTGGGCCTCTTACCCTGTATCACGTAGGAGAAGCAGGACAAGGTGGTTTTGGGGTGTTTTGGGTTGTTTTTGTGCTGTTTTCGGGCTGTTTTGGGGCTCTGACTCTGTGTCCCATAGGAGAAGCATGACCAGGTGGTTTTGGGGTTGGCTTGGGCTGTTTTAGGGCTGGTTTGGGGTGTTTTTTTCCTCTTTTTGGCCTGTTTTGGGTCTGTTTTGGGGCTCTGACCCTGTGTCCCACAGGAGAAGCAGGACAAGGGTTTTTTTGGTGGGTTTAGGGTGGTTTGGGGTTGTTTTGGGGGTGGGTTTGAATATTTTTTGTTGTTTTTGTACTTTTTTGAGCCTGTTTTGGGGTTCAGAAATTGTGTCCCACAGGAGAAACAGGACAAGGTGGTTTTGGGGTGGTTTTGGGGCTCTGACCTCTGTCCCATAGAAGAAGCAGGACAAGGTGATTTTGGGGTTGGTTTTGGCCCATTTTGGGGGTTGTTTGGGGTGTTCTGGCCTGCTTTTCTCCTGTTTTTGTCCTGTTTTGGGGCTCTGAACCTGTATGCCATTGGAGAAGCAGGACAAGGTGGTTTTGGGGTGGTTTGGGGGTTTTGGAGTGTTTTGTCCTGTTTTGGGGCTGTTTGGGAACTCTGACCCTGTATCCCATAGCAGAAGCAGGACAAGGTGTTTTTTGGCTGGTTTTGCGGCTGGCTTTGGTTTGGTTTTGGCCTGTTTTGGGTGCTTTCTGGGACTCTGACCCTGTATCCTACAGAATAAGCAGGACAAGGTGGTTTTGGGGTGGTTTGGGGAGTTTTGGATGTTTTGGCATTCTTTTGTCCTGTTTTTGGGCTCTGACGCTGTATCCCAAAGGAGAAGCAGGACAAGGTGGTTTTGGGGTGGTTTTGGGTGTTTCGAGTTGGTTTTGGGGCTGTTTTGGGTGTTTCGAGTTGGTTTTTCATTGGTTTTGGCCTGGATTGGGGCTTTTTGGGGGTCTGACCCTGTGTCCCTTAGGAGAAGGAGGGCAAGGTGGTTTTTGGGTGTTTTGGGAGTGGTTTTGGGTGTTTTGGGGTGTTTTTGTTCTGTTCTGGGTCTCTTTTGGGTCTCCTACCCTGTATCCCATAGGAGAAGCAGGACAAGGTGGTTTGGGGGGTGGTTTTGGGGATGTTTTGCATTGTTTTTGCCCTGGTTTTGTCCTGTTTTGTGTCTCTGACCCCGTATCCCATAGGAGAATCAGGGCAAGGTGGTTTTGGGGTGGTTTTAGGGTGGTTTTGGTTTATGTCCTGTTTTGGGATTCTGACCTTGTGTCGCGTAGGAGAAGGAGGACAAGGTGGTTTTGGGTGTTTTTGTTCTGTTTTGGGGCTGTTTTGCGGCTCTGACTCTGTATTGCATAGGAGAAGCAGGACAAGGTCCTAGTGGACGACAGGATGACCATGAGCCAACACTGTGCCCTTGTGGCCAAGAAGGCCAATGGCATCCTGAGGTGTATTAGAAGGGCAGTGGTTAGTAGGTCGAGAGAGGTCCTCCTTCCCCTCTCCTCTGCCCTGGTGAGATCCCATCTGGAATATTGTGTCCAGTTCTGGGCCCCTCAGTTCAAGAAGGACAGGGAGCTGCTGGAGAGAGTCCAGCGCAGGGCAACGAAGATGATTAAGGGAGTGGAGCATCTCCCTTATGAGGAAAGACTGAGGGAGCTGGGTGTCTGTAGTTTGGAGAAGAGGAGACTGAGAGGTGACCTTATAAGTGTCTATAAATATATAAAGGGGGAGTGTCACGAGGATGGAGCCAGGCTCTACTCGGTGGCAAACTATGATAGGACAAGGGGTAATGGGTACAAACTGGAACACAAGAGGTTCCACTTAAACTTGAGAAGAAACTTCTTCTCAGTGAGGGTGACGGAACACTGGAACAGGCTGCCCAGGGAGGTTGTGGAGTCTCCTTCCCTGGAGACATTCAAAACCCGCCTGGACACATTCCTGTGTAACATTATCTAGGTGTTCCTGCTCCGGCAGGGGGATTGGACTAGATGATCTTTCGAGGTCCCTTCCAATCTCTAGCATACTGTGATACTGTGAAGGTGGTTTTGGGGGTGGATTTGGGGTATTTGTGGCCTCTTTTGGGGCTAGTTTGGGGCTCTGACCCTGTATCCCCTAGGAGAAGCAGGACAAGGTGGTTTTGGGGGTGGTTTTAGGGTGTTTTGGGGTGTATTTGGGGTATTTGTGGCCTCTTTTGGGGCTAGTTTGGGGCTCTGACCCTGTATCCCCTAGGAGAAGCAGGACAGGGT